GCAGCTTCGGCTGCATCACCCCCTCCACGCAAGATCCAAGGTGTGATACATGGTCTCGTGCTCGTGAAATCCTCCACGACGCTGCTGATCGCACACTCTCTTTTGCAGCTGTTGGCGCCGTAAAGTGCATGGCCTTGGGCTACACGCTCGCGGCAAGCCTCAGTCCGACTCGCTCTCGTGTTGTCTGATGAACCCCTGCTCAACGCGCCTGGTGGGCCAACCGCCAGCTTCGCTATCCCGCGTCCCCTTCAGCTCGTCTTGTTGGGTGGCACTCACGGCGACTCGTCATGCCTCGCGCCCGGCCCTCATGTTGGCATCGTGGTCAGCTATCGCCGTTCTTGCAACCCCGCCGCGCGTCTGGGTCTTCATATCCGGGTACGTCGTGTTCTTGTGTGCCACTCGGGAATTTCCTGAATGGTTGTCCATTCGCAGCGAGCCTATCCCGTACAAGAGGGGTCTATGTCGTCTCCAGGGCACCATGACACGGTGCGCGACTGTTCTCCGCCGAAGGGGTGAAGCACTCGATCGCAGATGTGATGAAAGCAACAAACGAAGCCTCGCGCGCATCTCGTGTCCAGCACAACAGGAATCGGAAGGTGCCACTCCCAGCATTCCTGTCGTGCTCTTGAACACTCTGTCGGGCCATCGGTTCTCTCTCCATCCCCCCTCTCGACGTCGCATACGCGCCACTCCCCAATCCCGACCAGGCAGCTGCTGCTGCAGTTCTGATGTATCATGTTACGGGGACACCCCGTGACCGCTTTACATCATATACCGTCAAGGCTCCTGATGTATTACGGTCTTCCGGGAGGCCCGCCACCTTGCCCCGTAGCGCTGTACGCCCGCCGTCGGCTTCTCGGCAGGCTTCCTATTTAGGTAGAATGCCCTAGACTGGGGTGCGCGCCCTTCCGGCTGCTCGCCCGGTTTGCATACCTTCCCAAAGCGGACAGTATACATGTCGTCGAACATACGGGCTTTCCCGAGCATGCTTTCCCTTGCCGAACGAACCAATAGGAATCAAGAATTGCATTTGGCTGTGATGAAGTCTGTACATGGTAGAGAATTACTGGAGCGGCAGCCAAACAGCTCCGGGAGTATCTAAGGTGAGCATGGATTAGGAGCAAGTGGGCCGGGGATGGGGGTGAGATAGGAGCGAACACAGGAGGTGGGAGCAGGCAGGCTCAGAGCGAGAGCACATGCAGCCGGCATGCGGCCATGTACAGGCATGCACGGTGAGTGGTGGGCGTGTACGGCGAGCGGCAGGTGGCAGGCGGCATGGTGGGTCATGTAGAGTATGGGAGGGTGCAGCACAGGGCACACGGCAATGCCTTGTGCGGCGGGCATCCGCAATGCGCCGCATGGCTGGCAGACGGTGGGGGACACGGCGGTGCATGGCACACGGTGGTGCTACCTGCGCGACGGCCGTGCACAGCCTGTGCGCGGCATGCGACATGGCGGGTGAACGGTGGGGGGCTCGTGGCGGTGCGGGGTGGGCGGTATTGCAACATCGGGGTGAACGTAGGCAGCGGGAGCGCCGTCTGCGTAGGTAATTACCGTGCAGGCGGACGACGCTGCGTATCACGCTGCCGCAGGCACAAAACGCGCCGCGCCCGAGCACGCGGACGGCGACCGCGAGCGCACGAAGCGCAAACACGTCGACGTAACTTGGGGGATGGCACTCGGCATGATGCTCGCAGAAACACGCCGCGTGCTGCGGCAGAGGGTGAACGGAGATGCGAGACATACAGAAGGACCAAGAATGCAGGCGGTGGGAACACGGTGCTCGCAGGCGTCATCTGAATAGCACACTACAGAGCGTGAGGTGGGCGCGATGTGTGTGTCGACTCGGAGGTGAGACATGCGAGGATGCAAGGCATACGGCGGCGCGGGATGGGCGATGGGCGGTGGTCCAAACCAACAGCAACGACTCGGCTGCAGCTCACGGAAGCACCCCCGCAGACTCGAGCACCCGGATCAGACCCGCCACGGGAGCACACCTTTGCTTTTAGTGTGCCAGCGGAAGGTAGTATGCGTTGTGCGGGCGCGGCAGTGGGGAGCAACGCAGGCGGACAGAATGGGGAGCGGCAGGGGGAGCGGGACAAGCAGTCGGCAGCAGAAGTACCATAGCCGCGTAGCCGTCGATAGGACGCTGTGCGGTAGGGGCAGACGCGCGGGGGTGGGGCATAGCACATGCATCACGAACGGCATGCGGGGCAGGATTCAAGCAGAGAGAACGGCGTGTGTGAGCGGCACCCGAGATGCATTGCAGGAGAGAAAGGCGCTGGGTGGAACACCGGTGGCAAGAGCCTCCAGTGGCAGCCGGACTCGGATATAATATGGTGTGGAGACAGGAATGGAGTGGCGTAGCTCACGTACGACGGGAGAACATAGTGCATCGTCGGGCAGAAGGGACATGGGGGCGGCGGTGTTGCATGGTGCCATGGCATGCTCCATGGAGGGGCAGTCCATGGCGACACGTAGAGTGCGATATTGGACAAGGAAGGCGGGATAATGGAACGCGGCGAGGCGGAGGTGGCGGGGCGGAGGTGGTGGGGCGGTTTATACAGCAGTACAATGAGGAGCCTGAGCGGATGGGACAGCGAGACATAGGCAGAGGGCGAAGGCGTCGTCGTCGGGGCGCGTGGTAGAAGATTACTGGGTGGTGCACAGCCAGAAGGCTAATTGCGCGTACGCTTGGCTGGCGGCGAGAGTGGCTCTTCACCTGGTCTCTTCCTACAGTGGCGCCCATTCAGCATTCTACTTTTGAGCCATGATGTTGACTGTGAAACTTACCGTGCCTTGTCCTCGTTGTCCTCGTCGTTTTCGCCGATAGCAACTGTCGCCATGCTGGCTATGACCCACTCAACATCGGCTACTGCGGCTGCCCAGTCGTCCAAGGTCTGTGCGGTAGCCTGCTCTCGCCACCAAACAAGAGATATCAGCACGATAAACATGCCGTTCTTCCCTGGATTCGTGAGGCACTCCCAGTCGCCATCGCCGCCAATGGCTGGACGTCCTTGACCAGCCTGACGGCGCCATTCCGGCTGGATACCGCTCCACCACTTCCACCATGAGGTCATGTAGGCAGACTCGTTCTTGATAATAGGGAACTTGTCCAACTCGCGTCTTTGGATGCGAAGCCAGTCGCCGACTTCGCTCGGGCGCCCTTTCGCGGAGAGACCCTTTGCCTGAGAGTGTGTCAGTATATGTACATGACATAGCCATGGGACGCAACTTACCGATGTTGCAAAGTCGTATGCCCTCTCCAACACGGTCCACCATTCCAGAGCACGTACGAAGGGCTTACCAAGTTGCTTGGACTCCATGTGGTCGAAGCCAGCGCGCAGCCAGTCCGGCCAACCGTCTTCATCAAGCATAATGACATCAGCGACGGTGCCGTCGCGTAGTTGAGGGGCAGACACCGCAGCTGGCGGGGTAGATGATGTAGATGGGGGCACAGGCGGCGTAGACGATGCCGGCGCAGACACTACGAGCGGCGGTCTTGAGGACGGCAGTTCCGGGGACACAGAAGACGGTTCAGAGGTCGTGAACGGCAGTATGGGAGCCCGTGAAGGCCTAGGCTCGGAGGCCGCAGACGGCAGTACGGGCTCAGCCCGTGAAGGCACGCCCTCGGAGGTCACAGACGATGGTACAAGCTCTGGTGGAGGTGCAGTCTCGGAGGTCACCAACGGTGGTACCGGCCCCCGTGATGGCATGGGCTCGGGGGCCAAATATGACGGGGCAGGCTCGGAGGTCGTCGACGGTGGTACGGGCGCTTGTGGAGGCGCAGTGTCGGAGGTCGCAGACGGCGGTACTAGCTCGCGTGGAATCGGGTGCACAGGCTCCGAGGTGGCAGTCGATGGTACGGGAGCCCGTGGAGGCGGAGAATGGGAGGTCGCAGGCGGAAGTGCGGTGGTCGAAGGCGGCGGTGGAACGGGGGGCATAGACGACGATGGCACAGACGACCGCTTCAGTCTAACAGACTGGCGCACACCGGATGCAGGTGGGGCACCGGACGTCTTCTTCCCGCGCCGAGTGGATTTGGCGACCGAGGCACTGAGTGTGAGAGGAATGGGTATGGACCGGACCGCGGCCGACTGCGCCCGGCTGCTCACCAGGTCCCGGTCGAACTCGCTAAGCGTTGAGTAAAAGCGCAAATGAAGGCGGCGGTCTTCTGGAGTCATGCTGGCGAGCTCGCTGCAGACAACAGCGCCCATGCCCATCTCGGCCGCCATTGGCATATCAAGCTCGTTAGGCAGATTGTCGAGCTCGAGGTCCAGCCCCTGAGACCCTTCCTGCTCCGTGTCCTCCTCCTCTTCCTCTTCTTCCTCTTCCTCCTCATCCGAAGACGAGAGCTCTGCCTCGCTCTCAGAATCACGGGGCTGCTTCCCCTTTCCCTTTTTACCGTTCTTGCCCTTGGCCGAGCCCTTTCCCTTCGCTGCTGACTTTGCCTTTGCCGCTGACTTGCTGACACTCTTTTGCTGAGTGAGGGGGCCGAGGAGAGATAGCTGAAGGGACGGTGTCTTGTCGGCAGATAGCTGAAGGGACGGTGTCTTGTCGGCCGTCAATGTGGTGGCGGGGGTCGTGAGGGACGGTGAAGTGGTAAGAGCAGGGGCGGATAACGTGGCAGCAGCGGGAGCGGCGCGACTCGAAGATTCGGGGAGGTTTGCAGCAGTTGTAGGCGCACCCGAGACAACCGGCATCACCCCACCGTTCAGTGACGCGAGACGCGTGGCGAATTCTGCATGCTCAGGTTAGCAAGGGAACCAGCCTGAGGATGACCATGCATTAGAAGCATTGAAGCCTACCTGGAGTCTGAGTCAAGAACCGCGTGAAGGAGCCCATTACCTCGGTCTTAAACCGAACAGCTTCGCACTCGTGCCATGCCAATGGCTTCGATTTAGATTCATCAGTCCTGCCGGCAGTGACGCTGGTTGGAGAAAAGTAAGGACGCCGTGCAGGTTGCATGAAAATATGGGAAAACGCACATCTTCAGCTTGAAATCGCGTCCGCCCTCCTGATATGGTACACCCGCAAAAAGCGTCAGATAATAGCCGGTGTGTTCGCGGAGCAGCTCGAGGAGAGGCTGGACAACCGTTGCGATGTTATCCTGAGCACTAGAAATCCAGTTAGAAACCGTGAACGATAGATGCTGATATCAGCGTACCGGGCACGAAGTTCCTCCTTTGAGGGCTCATCCGGGGAAGGCGCACCATCGCCCTCAGTCTCATCATCGAGTCCCATTGCCTGAATCTCAGCCTGGAGTTCGATGAGGTATTCGGGAGCCTCCAACGCCAGTAGCTCGCGAGCAATTTTGCCTCTAAAGGCGACGGCGTGCTCGGGATCCAGGCCAGAAGTTGGCCACTTCTCGTCGAAAACGGCCTTGATTTCGGCGGGCTTCTTCGACATATAGTGCTGCCATTCACTTGGTCTTCGCGAGGCGGGCGAAGGATTTGCCCAATGGTGGAGGTCTTGCAGAAGCGGAGCCCAGATGTTGTCCTCCGCAATGTTGCGCAAGTAGCGCAGATGATTCTTGATACGCTACAACAGTGGTCAGCTTGAGGATACAGATGAGATTACCGAGGGAAACGTACCTCCTGGGTGAGCTTGATCACTGACCCTTTCGTATCCAAATTCTCCGGCAATGTCGAGTCGGGCTCGGTCCACTCGGCGTCTTCGAGCTCCTTGTCAAGCGGGATGTACCAAGGCCATGCCTCCCAATAGTCACGGAATAGGGCACGCCAGAAGTCTTTTTGCGGCTTACGAGCGGCGCCTTTGAGGTCTATGAAGTTTTGGAGACGCTCTCTCATGAAGAGGGCGCGTGCGCCTTGGAAGAGGCTGGGAGTGCCTGCTTTGCCACCTTTGAGCTTCCGCTTGGACTTGCGGCGTTGCTTGGTGTCTTTTGAGGACTGGTAGCGGGGCGCGAGGGCGTCGATGAACTCAACGTCCATGTCGGCGAACTGGAAGCCCGAGAAGTCGAAATTGCAGGACACAAGTTGAGAGGCTGAGGGCGGTTACTTCAGTCAACAAGCCGAGGTCGTCTCACGTGATGCTAGCCACCGTGCTCCGTTGGACCATGAGCCGCTGCACTGACTATGACAAGTTCGAGTAGCGCCGACGACCATGAAGGCCGTCTTCGTCCCACTCGCGCCCGCGTCCATCGAACTCGCACCTGCGTCCATCGCACTCGCGTCCGCGTCCGTCCTACTCACGCCCGTGTCCGTCTCACTTGCGCCCGCACCCGCGTCCACGTCAGGGTCCGCGCTCGTCTCACTCGCGCCCTCATCCATCTCGCTCGCGCGGGCCGCGTCTATCTCACCCGCGCCCTCCGATCCGTCTCACTTGCGCCCGCGCCCATCCTGCTGGCGCCTGCGCTCACTCAGGCTGCCGAGGCAAGCTGGAGTCAAGTGAGGTTCAGTACTACATGCCACCTCGGTCAGGCCGCGCGATGTATCTTCGTACATTGGTACGCCATTCTCCAATGTTCCATAGTACCCAGGCTACTAATGGTACACCCGTGAGGCCCAGGAGCTTCGGACGCCGCCGACCATGACATGTCGCTGCGTAGGTGCACTTTACAAGACATACGCTACCTCGACTGTCGCTTATCAAGCCCGGCTGGACTTCCCTACGCAAGGTACAGAATACATCGCTGAGTCTTTCTCGTACCGTTGGCTGTCTTGCATCGGTGTTGCAGACAACGCTAACGAAGATTCGAGCAACGCAGAGTACCTAAGTTTCGTAACTCCTCGTGTACGCCTCCCGGGGCGGGTGTCCACTATGAGGTCGACAACAATATGTATCTATACCCTGGCATGCGGTCTCCGAGTCGACGGTTCACATGAAGAAGAGGTCAGTTATAGCGATCTCGACGAGGATGGTGGTCCAAAGATTCAGGCGCCCCACTCTCCCACTCTGTCCGGCATGCTCCACCTCCAGCCCCTCACTACTCTACTGCTGTTCGCCCATGTTCGGTACACTGACGCCTCATAAAACTGAGGATTCGATTAAGATCCATGCCAATGCTCCTTTGCTCCATGTTTCCCTCTCTGCATGCTCACGGTTGTACTAATTGAGTACCTCGCACTGCCTGTACCACTTCCTTGTCATGTACGTTGTAGCCCATTAATGATCATGAACACTCTCTGGCTCGCACAAATGAGCTACATACTACTACATGTGTGAGGACGGGAAACTATCTCATCCAAGCGGACCTCGACTGCGGCCATGACGTACTGCATCTTGAAGACAGCTGCCGAGAGTCCACCCCAGATGCGCCCGAGCTCCTCTGCACCAAATGAGGCCATGGTTCCGTCCGAAATGAACGACTGGACACTATCCAGCACCTGATCCCCATCCATGACCCACTGCTCAGTCTGCTCTATCCATTCCGGCAACCCTCCGTCGTCTTCTGCACCCTGCAAGCCACAGTCGAGGTCCTGTATGAACGTACGAGGATCGTCCGGGCAGCCCCACGCGGCTAAGGCGGTATTGAGATCCTGGAGTCTGCGTATCAGCTCGGTATCAGGCGTGATTGGAATGCGGATGGCAGCGAACGGCCGCCCCTGCCATTCCCTAGAGCATCCAGTCAATGCAATTAGATAGAGCACACTTTGAGAGACTCGTCATAGATTTACGTACCCGGCGCTATCTACCTCAGTATCCCCCGGCGAGCTGTGGGATGTCTTACTAGCGAGTCCGCGGCACTCGCTGACGGCGTTTGGCCATCCGCGACGGAAGTGTATTGTCCGCTCCGCCGTGCATGTTGATGAACGCGGTATTTCAAGCTCTGCTGTGGACGCCGATGAGCCTGCACGGAGGCTGGTACACGGACACCACACATGTTAGACGAAGCAACAGGGAAAACGGTACTTGTGAGGAAGCACGCACGTTTTTAACTTTTCCTGGTATCGTTGATTGCGGGCGCGTCGCAGTAATTGTTTTGCGGTGGGGGGTTCCACATCGGAGCGGGTTTTTATGGTAGTTGGAGAGTGGGGGGACATAGGTAGAATGTGCGGCTCGCGCAGGCGGGACATGTTGCTCGAGAGTTTGGGTCTTGAAGGCTTGAGGGGCGCGCCGAGCAAGTTCGCCGCGCCAGCTTGTCCAAGGCGTCTTAAGACGTTCTGTGAGTCAGTGATTGGCTGTGTGTTCCTTGCCACTGCTTCGAGACGCCCGGCGCATCTTCGGTCTTCGGATTCAAGGCGCGGTCGCCGTGCACCGATGCCCTACCATATTGTGCTGTATTCATCCTGTACCGCTGTTTGCATACTGGGTTAGACGATGAGTGGATGTTGCTACTTACAAACTATCAAGAGACCCAGTCTACATGAACATCAACTCTGACTACGAGTAGCCCAGTAAGTACTCTCCGAGTCAGTCACTTTCTAAACCTCCGCAAACTCCGACCATAGACTGAGCATCTGTACACCGCGCTCCCAACGCGCTAAACCTTCCGCGTAGACCTCCTTCGCTCGCTTGCGTGGAAGTTTACTTACGGGTTGGAAACCAGATTCCATCCATCGTACAATACCTCCAGCGGTGTATTGGGTGAACGAGTACCTGCGTTCATGAGGCGCGATGGTCGTGTTGGAGTGACACAGTAAGGCCGATGGGATTAAGACGGTGGCCCCGGGTGGGAATTCGATGAACATCTTGAGATCCCAAAGGATGAGATGACCGCTGCAAACGGGATCGAACTCTCCCGCCGCTGTGATCGTGCACCAGCCCCAGGGTAGGTTTTTCTGGTCGACATGGGCGTAGGAGACCGTCCGCGGGCCAAGGTTGAAGGTCGCGGTGCCGAATACGTTGTTGGAGAAGTTGGGTCTGAGTGTCGGGTGCTTAGCGCAGAGTGCGTTGAGGGTGGTACTGTAGTATCCGTGTAGACGAGGCGCAAAGAGGCGCATGGCACCTTTGTAGGGTCAACCGAGGCTGAAGCGAGATCGGATGGTGGGACGTACTATTGCCGAAGTTTGCGACACGCCGTACCGCAGTCTGTCCTAGAAGAGCAGAGACGACGTTCTCGTTGTGCGAAGTCCGTTGTGATATGTTCTTGATGTACTTTGCACATTCTCTCAGCCGTGTACCGCACATTACATCGCAGACTTCATTCTCACCTTCTGCCCGCCACCGAACGAGATTCCGCTTGTTACTGCTGGGAAGTCCCCGCGGCGGTGGTCCAGCTGTCCACGGTTGAAGCTGTACGCTTCGCGTGTGGTCTCGAAGATGGCTTGCAGCTCGGTGTTGATGGTGTCCCAGGGACCCAGCTATCATCCCGAGGGCGGCCGGCGAGGACCGCAAATACGCGGCCGTTCTTGTCGAGAATAGGCCGGCACTCCCTGTGAAGAAAATGATGTTAGTAGAGGCGGGAAACGCGGGCACTTGATGCGTACTAACCGGCCATCCCACGGGATATAGCGAAACTTGCGCGCAAGAAGGTCCTCCTTTGTCACTTCGGCGCGATCAGCTTCAGTGGCTTCGTAACGCTGACCAATGAAGGCGGTTTTGGCGACGGGGACATCTTCCATGGCGAGCGAGTACCGAGTTTCGATGGGTAGCGCGTCCTTCGCTGTGACCGAGCCGTTGTCGCGGTGTAAAGTGCGCACAACATCGCTTTCGAGAGCTATGCCAGCCGTGAGGGTGACCGCGGCACTTCTGCGTTTGGCAGCAACAGCCTTGACCGAAGATTTTCCTATGCCAGGAGTGCCTAACGCGCTGCTGAGGGTGGCACGCTTCTCGCGCCTCCGTGCCTTGGACCTGTGCTTGTTGTGGTACTTAGCCTTCTCGCTTGCGGAAGCATTAGGCGGTGGCGCAGGGGCAGCAAGAACGGGTGCGAGGGAGACAGACGCGGGCGCGAGGGAGACGGACGCAGGCGCGAGGGAGACGGGCGCGGGCGCGAGGGAGACGGGCGCGGGCGCGAGGGAGACGGACGCAGGCGTGAGTGAGACGAGGGCAGGCCCTGATGCGGCCGCGGCCGCGGACACGGGCGTGAGTGAGACGGACGCGGGAGCGAGTGCGATGGACGCGGGCGCGGGCGCGAGCGAGGGCGTGTGCGCGAGCTGCGAGCGCATGTGCGCGTGTGTGGCCAGCGTGAGACTTGGCGGCATGTTCGTAGTACCACCGGTAGGCGCGGACGCCTGCAGCGAGTTCCCCGGAGCGCGGTCCGCCGTCAAGGCTGTGATTGACGCGCCTTCGAAATCGCTTCCTTCTTCATCCGCAGTGGCGGCTTCGTACTTAGCGTCTGCAGCGATGACCGCCTCCTTGATGCGGGTCTCCAGCTCAAAGTCGAGTGGCGCGTGGATAGGAGTACCAAAATCGGTCTCCCATGGCGAGAAGGCCGCACCTGAGCGCGTCTACACATGCGTGGAATCAGACAATGCCGCAAACTGAGCACTCAGCGCTTGAATAGGTGCGTACCTTTCGAAACCCGTCCATAGCACGGCCACCTGGAGTATAGACACTGTGTCGGAGTTATTCGTATATGGCAGTGGATGGAGATGCCGGCTCGCGTCCTCCGCATCCCCCACATCTTGTGCACTTCGGGTTCCAGGGTCGAATCCACGTTTGGCATGCGATGTGGGGGTGCTGAGGAGCGAATCGGGACACTCACCGGCAGCGGGGGCAACGAAGGGTCTTGCAGGCACGTAAGAGCAGCGAGGAAGATGTATGAGAGGTAAGAAGCGGGGGAGCGGCGAAAGCACGCGATGATATATGGGCAGCCCGTGTGGGCGCATTTGTTTCGCCATTGTTTGGCTCCCTCGGTCGGTGGCTAACCAGGAGAGGCATTAGCCTGACTATGCGCGCGGCGTCCCTGTGGCGTCCATGCGCGCTTTGTCACGGCACGAGGTCTGTGACGAAAACCGTTGTCGTTTTTGCGGTTCTGGTGCAATTTGGTGCACCCCATCCTGCTTCTTCGCCGGCTCCGTGGCTAATCATGTCCAAAAAAGCTTCCAAGAAGCGTACCCGCCCTCAGCCTACGGACTCTTCCCTCACTGCCGACTTCGATATCACCGCTGCGGAGGTTCTAGCTGCACCCAGTCTACCCAAACCCGGCCTGCTCACTATCGACAGTCTCTCACAAGACGGGCGCCGACTTTTTCGCGACTCTGTTCCCCTGCCCAGCAGTGCAAGTGGCACACCCGCTCCCAGCACCCCTTCTGCAGGGACTATCCCCCTAACGGACGAGGATTATCTCGCCGCCTTCGACGTCAACGCGTTCCTTCTTCCCTCCGACCTCGCCGGCGCTGGGCCACCAGAGCCTGAAGATGCATTGCCGAAGGATGTACCTTCCTCTGAGGATGGCGGCGAGAAAGCGAGGCGATACACGAACTCGGTGCGGCCCTATCACGTACCATCTCACCGTCTGAGTGCTGACACAATAATTTTACTCTGTCAGGACGAGCCTATGAAGACCTGGCTCCCGAAGCGCAGCGCTTACCTGGACGAGTTGATCCGTCGAGAGGGTAGAGGCGACTACACGGGCGATACATGCCAGTCTTGCGACCGAGCACTTGGGCCGGTCAATAAGGGTACGATCCGCTGTAGCTCCTGCGCTCCAGGTCCCCTTCGCTGTGCGGGTTGCACCGTGAGGTATCATGCAGACACTCCATATCATCGGGTCAAGGTACGTATATCTTATATGCGGCTTCAGTCGGTACTGATCGCCCATAGGAATGGACGGGTGTCTCGTTTGAGAACACAACATTGAAGGACCTCGGGCTCGTTGTCCAACTTGGGCATCGTGTCGACGGGAGCGCGTGCTCAAATCCTCAATATGTCCGCCACGACTTCTCGGTCATCGACGTCAACGGCCGACACCAAGTGGCGCTCGCGTTCTGCGGTTGTGATCGTGCAGGCATCGCAGGCGACGAAGTCGAACAACTCCTCCGGTTTGACCTATACCCCTCCACGGACTGTGAACCCAATACGGTGTTCACGTTCGCCCTCCTGGAGCATTATCACATCCTGAGCCTACAAGGGAAAATCTCCATGTACGACTACTACACGTCGCTTGAGCTCATGACCGACAACACCGGCACTCTGAAGGCACGCGACCGGTACAAATCCTTCATGCGCGTCGTCGCGCAGTGGCGCCACTTGAAGATGCTGAAAAGGGCAGGTCGCGGACACGATCCTGAGGGTGTGGGGGCCACGAAGCCAGGTGCGCTGGCTGTGCGCTGCCCCGCCTGCCCCCATCCCGACATCAATATCCCTTCCAACTGGCAAGATGCATCGGAAGATCTCAAGTATGTGGATATGTAGTTCGAAGTCTTCGGTTACTCACGCTCAGTCAGGTTCTTGTATGTGATGACGGTTGCAGTCGACGCCTGCTTCCGCCTGAAGCGACGTGCCGTCTCGTCTACGGAAAAGGATCCCATATTGGGTAGTGGGTGGGCATACTTTGTAGAAGACACCGGATATCACGAAGTGTTGAAGGGCTACACAAACCAGGGCGAGGTGCGCTAACTTCTATACTCTACTATTTTTCCAACTGACCAGAACTCCCGATATGTTAGATCTCGTCATGCACAGGATTCGCTGCACTCGATCACGCCGACAGCAAATTCTCGCGTGGCTATGCTGCGACTGGGGTGGGCGCCGTCATCTGCGCGCGGCACGAGTTCTGGCTCGCCCTCGGAGTGGGCGACCTTCAAAAAGGGGAACGGTACGTGGCAATCATCTCGGGCATCTAGTAATTGTCATTGACGGCGTATGTTAGATATATAAATATCGACTACATCTTCGTTTGCGCAATGCGGGAGTACCTAGTCGTCAACAAGCTCGTGAGCTACGACATAGCGTGTCAGTGGTCAAAGCACTTGCTGGAGCGAATATCGAAGTTCCCCAGTCACGTACAGATCCCTATTCCGGAGGGCTCGATCACCTACGCAATCCCGAAACTGCACTACCGCAGTCACGTTCAAGAGGGCCATTCGCCGTTTTCGCTCAATTACCGGGTTGGCTCCGGGCGGAACGACGGCGAGGGCATTGAGCGTCGGTGGTGGGATATCCAACCCATTGCGAGCAGTACGAAGGTCATGGGGCCTGGCCAGCGGCACATCGTGCTCGAAGATCACTGGGGATTCTCCAACTGGAGGAAGTTCGTGCGCCTCCGTGAGTACTGATACATTTGTGCCATGTCTTTGACGGTCTTTCTCACTGCCAAGTTATCCAGCTTGGGCACTCCGTCAGCGGCTGAAGGACGCCCTGATCGCGTTCAAGAAGCACAACGAGCATTTCGAAACGCTGACAATCTCACTGCGAGAGGCTAAACATGACCTCCCTCTCTGGACGTTCCAGATCGAGGCGTGGGAGGTCGACCCATGGAGCGTTGACGATCCCTACGTAACAATCTCATCAGGTACGTATAGTGCAATGCAGTTCACAGCTATCACCGACTCATTCGTGTATACAGGCCTTACTGAAGCCGAGACCGTTCAAAATCTCGCTCAGGAGGAGCAGACTGCGAGCGCTGCTAAGGGCTACGTCGCCCTACATGAAGTGAGCCTGCTGGGGTTTGTCAAGATGGGGCTAGAGCTTGAAGAAACCAAGTATGTGTCGTCCTACTGTCTGCTTCCTAATTCTCAGTGTTTAACATCTTGTTTAGGGTCGCCCTGAAAGCCGACGCTCGCAGTGCAACCGCGAGCAAGAAGCTTGCAGTCCACGAGCACCGTAATGCCCTCCGCCGCAAGTTGCAGAAGTTCCGCGAGCTTCAAGGCGTGTACATGCCGCGAGCGATGCCCTTACTCGCGAACGACAGTGCCTGCCACACCGAGGTCGAGCTGGTTGAAGAAGTCCGCATCGGGCTCCCCTCCGAGATCACACCGGTGCACCGTGACAGCGTGTGTCCGCCGCGATGCTGCGAGATAGAGAGCCGTCTGCGCGAAGCTCAGTGTCGCGACGCGCTCGATGATCTGCGAAACAAGCTACATGTCATCAACCATCTGTACCGGTACAAGAAGGTCAACGTCCGTCACCAGGGAGCCAACACACGCGTCCGAACCGACCTGTCTTCGCAGGACGAGAAAAAGCTCCGCGCCGTAGAGAGGTATCGACGTGCACGCCGCGCGAAACTCGTACTCTCAGGGAAAGGCGACTGGGAGAATGAGTTCCAGGTTCTCGAGGATCGCGACGTTCGCGGCCTTCAAGACGATGACCCCGACGAAGTTGCAAAGCGCAAGCGGAAACGCAACGAGGACCCTGCACCCGCAGAGGGCCACCGCACTCTCTCTTGGATCTGGCGCTCAGCAAATGCCAACAGCCCTGACTCCTTGATAGACTCCCTCCGCGTCGAGTGGCTGAAGGCTCGCGCACGGAAGATGCGATGGGAAGAGGAGGCCAAACTGCTCCCAGAAGAGATGCGGCGCGTCCTAGCGACACTTCGCTATGAGGAGCAAGAGTGGCTTGGGCGACGCACATCCCGCCCGGTAGCGGACCTACGACTCCAAGAGGGCCTCTGTGCGTACGCCACACGCCAGGCACAGATGCGTCGCGCTATGCGCGCGACATTCGTGGCCGTATGCCGGCAGACGGCCGAGAACGCTCAAGCAGGTAACGGCGAGGAGTGGGAAGTGCTCCCATCGGAGAAGGACCTAGGCGCCGAGGATATGGACGTGGACTACGCTACCATGTACGAGCTGGATGGGGAGGACTTCGATCGGGACACCAACGCTTGACGGCATTGAACACGACCGGACACGGCCCCCATGTTACGCCATCCTCCCAGTCTTCAAGCTATTCACACCAAACCACGTCGTGCCCCAGTTTGCACACCCGAATCGCACATCGCGCATGCTGTTGCGCACCCCGATCCCGCCGCCGCCTACCCACGCCATCATCTCGTCTGCGCGCCTGCATGCCACGTCTCATCAAGTGTGCGTGTGTCTCACGTCCATGTCCCGCTACATCCTGCCAGCGTCTACCGAAGAGGGCGCACATCTCCCACCGCACACGCCACTCGGGCCACGGCTTGCACGTATGTGTCATACTTGAGCGTGAGGCTCGTTCACGTGCTTCCCGCTGCGCCCGCACCGTGTTGCCCACGTCCTACTACAGCACCCTCGGCAGAGCCGGCTGTACGCACTGCAAGTATGGCACCCGGTGCGCCCCGGTTGCGCACCCCGCGCACCCCGCACCCCCAGCGCGCACCCCGCACCCTGCGCACCCCGCACCCCCGGCGCGCACCCCGCACCCCCGTCGCGCACCCCGTACCCTCGTCGCGCAACCCGTGCACCCTTCACACCATGTCGGGCGATGCCTACATGCTAGCCACGCGCGCCGCACGCCTGCCGCCTGCGTTGCCGTCGCCACCTCGCGCGTCCCCGCACCGCTGCACGCCCGGTGCCGCCGCATGCGGCATGCGGCCCGCGCGCTGTGCTCCCGCTGCGTGCACTCTTTCCGCGCACCACATACAGCCCCACATCTCGCACCGCCGTGCGCCCTGTAAGGCCATGCCATTTTACTCCCGCTGCTTGCCATTTGCTATGCTATTACTATGTATAGACCCGGAGTAACAGCCAAATGCAGCTCTTGATTCCTATTGGTTCGTTCGGCAAGGGAAAGCATGCTCGGGAAAGCCCGTATGTTCGACGACATGTATACTGTCCGCTTTGGGAAGGTATGCAAACCGGGCGAGCAGCCGGAAGGGCGCGCGCCCCAGTCTAGGACATTCTACCTAAATAGGAAGCCTGCCGAGAAGCCGACGGCGGGCGTACAGCGCTACGGGGCAAGGTGGCGGGCCTCCCGGAAGACCGTAATACATCAGGAGCCTTGACGGTATATGATGTAAAGCGGTCACGGGGTGTCCCCGTAACATGATACATCAGCGTTGCAACAGCTGGTGGACCAGGATACCTCGCAGTCCGCCATGGAGCAGCACGACAGGGACAGCCGCACTCCCGAGTTCGACTACGCCGCCGCCTTAGAGGAACATCATGCTAAATTCCCCGACTCATCGTATCCTCCTCGTCGCGCTTCTGTTGTGGCCCCGCCTCAGGCTGCTGTGGTGCCGCAGCCCGTTACCGAAGTGCGCGGCGAAGGTCTCAATGCTCCAAGATCATCGTCGGCAGTCCCGGACATCGTCAACGAACGCAACGACGTACGCGATCTTTTCGCCTGTGCGCGATTCGCTCTCACGTTCGGCCCTCAGTATCCCGCCGTCGTTGCTCCCTCGACCGCGCGGCTGACTTCTACGGTAAGCTACAAGTTTTCACGATCCAATGTACCAGCGATCGCGGCGCGCTCACTCACTTGTCCTTTGTTTTATAGGTCACGTACAGTGACCTTCCCGGCGGATACGATAGAGTGTCCGTCGTGGAAGTTGAGGTTGGCCCTACTACGAGGGGTACTGTAGATGTTCGTAGCCCCAGGCGCTGGGTGAGATTCCTGGAGAATCCTAACAGTGTCGCCATCTTAGTGGTACGCATAGTTCTCACTCGTCTCATGCTCGCATATCTTGACCGATTCGGCCAGGTCACCCCTAGCTCCGCAGAGAGCTTTCATTCAGACGTTGCTGTCACCCACAGGAAGTTACGCTATCTGTTCAAGGACGCGATCGAGTGTGCGTAGTCTTGGCTTCTTTGTCTCTGTAACGTAGTCCTTAAGCCATGTTTCAATTTAGGGTATCTGAAAGAGCGCGGTGTTGTCGTCGAAGGAGGTGTACCGGCAGAATTTATCAAGGTCGACGCTCACTCCGTACGTATGCTCGTAATCATTTATTTTATCTTTGCTGAAAAATATCCAGGCCATCGGCGACGCTGGTGCGCCGGTTGGGATCACGTACATGCGTGTTTCCCCCTCGGGATTCGACTTCCATGCTCCGACTACTGAGGCCTACGTTCCGTCGACTACCACCATCCTCTTCACGCTGGGCGTGATAGTCTCCATCGTCTTCTTGTCGGTGCAAGTCTATCTCATCGTGCACGGCATCGGTGGCGGCGTCCTCTTCCAAATCCTCCTTCAAACCTTGCGCTCCATCCACGACATGGCCGAGGGCATTGACGAATTCCTGCGCAAGGCTGCCGTCCTCGTGCTCAAGATGTTTGGGATGGTTGTTCTGCACGTGGACAAGGTCCTAGCTCTTGCCCGTGAACTCGCCGAGCTCTAAGTTACCTCGCGATTGGGTATCCGGAGGAGTAGTGTTTGTACGATAGTAGCCTCCCGTTTGTAACGCACGAGTTTCTTATTGATGTGTCTTGTAAAGCGAGGGAGACATGGGCCCCGAGAGGCGCCGTGCGGACCGGAGTGGCCGACACGTGGTAGTGGTCAAACTTAATCGAACGCGACGAGTTACCACTTACCACCACGCTTCACCCCGCACCTGCGCTCGCCCCAAACCTGTCGTCTACTGAATACTTAACTTCTGTGCTTCTGCATATCAAGGGGACTCATTTCTCTGTGCAGCCTCTTCACAACAAAGCAATCTGTTCCATGCAGGGTCGATTCGACGTTACCTTCACGCCAACGGACCTCGTGCCTTTCGCAGCAACATGGAGGAATTGCGTGGCTAGAACGAGGCGACGAAGCAGGAAACAAAGGACCTTCATAACGAGTGGCACATCACGTTATAAATATCTCGAGTTCGTGCGCATGCTATCCCTACTCGTTCGACTTCAATCTCACCTCGACAATCTAGCCGGTGCAACGATGCTTGAAGTAGACGTCGCTCTTGGCCTTGTCCACGAGAAGGAGATGGCGGTCCGCGTAGCTTGCGTTGACTTTGACATCGCAATCGCCAGGTTAGCCCCTCAACCTAGATCTGACACAATCTCATCGCCGTTGGGTAGGCTGAGGCAGACCCTTCAACTACCCATCTCGAAGGACGCCTGGGTGTCTTCCCTGGCCACACGCTTGAACTTCCTCAACAAGGAGCACCGCATCTCGGTGAAGAATGATCTGTACGCTCTATCAGCCCGCATGCAAGAAGTCTACAGCCCGAAGAACGCGACATCCGACGTGTTAACTCTGCTAGACGAACGTATTCAGGAGGCGACGGAATTTCTGGCTATGGCTGAGTCGCTCATGGCCGAAGTGAGTTTGTTCCTTTACTTCGGTATGCGTCGCTAATTAGTGGCCCAGTGTGAGGCCTTGTACGATCAACGCGTTTCCGAGAAGAACCTCGACGTTTTTGAGCGTGTCCGCCTCCGCCGCTCGATGCCGACGATTCGTAAAGGCATCCAGAAAGCTAAGGAGCACAAGGAAGCTATCCAGACCATCATGACCGAATGGAGGGTGTACTTCCGTCTCTACTCGTGCGAGGTAAGTGTGCTAAACCATTTGCGGAATGTCACGAAAGACTCAGCACACACAGGCGGAGCTGTCCAAATTCCTGGAAGACCTTCACACCCACAAGTTGACAAAGACAGCGGCGGAGGAGATAGCAACGCCTGTGTTCGAGCGTATCGTCGAGATCAGCGCCGCCCGCGACAAGATTGTCAGCGAGAGTTCGGCGATCGGGCTGCAACTCGAGGCCTCCTGGCTGACGTATGGTCGCGGAGGCGTCCGTGAGCGCGAACTTCGGCGCGTTATGCGCCAGTATGACGCTCTGTTGGAAAGTGCCGAGACGGAGAAGGCCACCCAAGTAGCTGTTATGAAGGAAGCAGAGGTATGTTGCCTTGCGCTGGTTATTTCCTCCGCTCATCATTTATGCTAGGCTCTCGCTGGTTTAGCCTGCTCGCCAGTCAGTATCTCGGGGCCGGACGGTAGCCAGATCTTCTTCGACCGGCTGCGCAATGCGTACACTCAGTTCAAGCACATTCACGTTGTTTGCGACTCAATGCAAGCGGTCAGTTTAATCACCCTCCTCTACGCGCCTCGTCTTACCTCTCTGTGTCAGTTGCTCCATCCCGTGCGCGAGGCCCTGAGAGCCAATATCGATGGTCTACGCGGTGATCTGATCCTCTCTAGCGTTATATACGATTTGTAAGGCCAGGCCATTCCCATCCGTGCATATTATCTTCCATTTTCACAATGAAATCGTCTCGTTTCATGCATTGCAGAGTGCCTCGTCATTCGGTCGCTCCAATCGTAGTCACCACGCCTAGTCAAGCGCCGGCCGCCATCGCCGGACATGTGCGGCGGATCTGCGATCATCAGCGAAGGCGTTATCACCTCTCCCTTTCCCGCATCGCGATGCGCGGTTTGAGCTCTGAGCGTTGAACACTTCCCCTTCCCCTTTCTACTAGCACCTCTAGGCAGTCGTACTATCTATTCTGAGCTGACGCACTGGCGAGTTTGTACGTCACACACAACCGCGCTTGGTAAGTGGCATACACCGTGCCGGTCAGTTAGTGATAGAGCATTGGACAGCTATGAGCGGACCGAGTTCTGCTACCGCATGGCGGCACAAACGTTGGGCGCGACTACGCGACATGCTCGGTGCGGACACGGACGCGAACACACTGGATGACGAGTCCGCCCCGCACACGCAGCCTACCATACATCCTCACAGCGCGGCTTCCGGGTCGGCACGAGAACCACCGACACAATCAGCACCGCGTCCCCCTCCACCTCCCCCCGTACCTCCCGCCAACGTTGCCTCGCAGCTGGACGACCTGGTCCACCTCCATATCGCCTTCATACAAGGCATGGTAACGTTTTCTTCCTTCGGTCGTCCCCTCCAATTCATCACGGACCCCGCACTGGACGGCTCATTCGTACGTTGGCACATCCAGTCGGGCGAGCCTTGCAACAGCGGGAAGAGTTCTCTGGACACCAGGAAATCGCGGAATCTCCCATTCCTGGAATATCAGAACTGGCTTACCGTGTCCTACATCTTTCTGAAGTCCTCGGGTACTGGTGTGGACGACGAGGTCGGTGAATACCGAGAAGGGCTTATAACACAGATCCTGGAAGAGCTTGATAGGCTTGAGGATCTGAAGGAGTGGGAATGGGAAAGACAATCGACCGGACGTGCTGAGTCGAGTGGCGCGTCAGGCGAGTCGCGATTCACGGTGAACACCGGTGCGTAGGCTGTGTATCGCTTGATTTCCCGGACTAACATGCCCGATAGAACGTCATCTCGATGCACAGTGGACTTCGTGGACGGCTCCAGTCACCCCGGTATACGCGTATTTCATAGTCTCTACCACCTCAAATCTGCTTCTCGGGATGTCGCGGAAGGCCACAGGGATCGTGATGGGCGGCCTGCGGAGTACAATCCGACTTACGCTTGAGTATGTTCGCGCACCAGGCTCTTTGCTCCCTGAGGACCATCGACTCCTTCGTCAACTGGCACGCGACCCTCGGACCGTATTGAACGCTCTCGACCTCGATCCCCATGTCACGACGTATAACTGTTGCCCCGAGTGCTTCGCCCTATATACCCTTTCCGACATCGTTCCCCTCACTTGCATCGAACGCGCCGCGCCAGAAAGCCTCCCATGCGGAGCCAAACTATCACGACGGCGGAAGATTGGTCAAAATGTCATGTCAATCCCCATCCGCAAGTATCTCCATCAGTCTCTGAAGCATTGGCTGGGACGAATGCTCTGCCGGACGGAGATCGAAACCTGGCTGAAGAAGCGTCGATGGAACCATGGACGTGCTACTATGCCTATGACAGATGTCTTTCACGGGATCGCTCTTCAATCGCTGTACGGTCCCGAGCCGGGCCAGGCGTTCCTCGACTCTCCCCTTCACGAGATGCGGCTCGTCTTCGCCCTTTCGGCGGACGGGTTCAACCCATACCAGATGAAAGAGGCGAAGCACAGTGTGACGAGCACTGCCGTGTACATGATCTGTCTCAACCTTCCGGAGAACTTGCGCTACCTCCCAGAGAACCTTTACCTTGCCGGCGTCATCCCCGGCCCAACAAAGCCCTCTACATCCCAAATCAACCACTTTCTGAGACTTGTCATGGATGAGCTACTCGACTTCTGGAACCCGGGGGTCTACTACAGCCAGACTGCTCTACGACCTCAGGGGTGTCTTGTACGCGCGGCTCTCGTCCCCCTCGTCGCGGATCTCTTGGCTGCCCGGCAGTTATCGGGGCTTGGGCCTCACAATCACGCTCGCGTCCTCTGTAGTGTTTGCACAACACCCGCCGATGGCGTAGAGAATACCGACCCTGCGACCTTCGAACCTCGCGACTTGGAGAAGCATCGTGCAGATGCGAAGGCGTGGCTCGACGCTCGAACAACGTTTGAACGGGAGAAGCTTTTTCAAAGTACTGGGGTACGATACTCTGAGCTTCTGCGCCTTCCGTATTGGAATCCCTTCCTCTACACCGTCGTCGACACTATGCACAACCTCTATCTGGGTATCTTGCAGCGACACATTCGCGTCATCTGGGGAATCAGCGTCGACGTGGAGGACGGCGATGCTTCTGGGAACATGATCGGCGTAGCTCCGGAACGCCCGTCGGAGGCGAAGATGGCCGCAGGCGTCGATCTTCTCCTGACTGCGACCACGCTCAAATTACGGACCGCGGGGAAAGCTGTTTTGTATCACCTTTGCCTTGATCGTGGTATACGGAGGGCCGGTACTGTGTCTCAGCTAGTGAAAAACCTGACTGCCTGGGTACGTTGACCCGTTCCTTTCGGAGAGCCTTTTGACTCTAACAATTCATATTCATAGCGGAAGAAAGAAGGAATCCACGTCGAGGAAGACCCCGCGGCGAGCGTGGGACCTAATCGAGGTGCGCCTCCTTCGCTTTGCAGAGGACTGTGCGCTCATCGTTGATTCAGATCTTCAGTCTGAGCTGACACCGGACTACGGGGAGGATGATTCGGCGGATATACGGTCTGCCGAGAAGACTTTGCAAGGACTGAAAGCGTCTACGGCCCTCGCCCGTAGGCGACAAGATCTCTTGCAGACGATGTGCAAGGTGCGAGGAATCGAATTCGAAGACTCTACCAAGAAAGAAGTCCTCGCAGAGCGTCTTCGTGCTTGGGTAAGTTTGCGTAACAAGCCTGTATGCCCCTAAGTGATGGATACAACCACCCGTTAGCTCGAAGTACGACGCCTTGAACTCTCATTGCAGCAGATGGTTAGTAATTCATTCAGCACTTCTTCGGGAGGGTGTGCGCGGACTGACCCCCTTCTAGACCATTGGCGACAAGCGGAACGGGAAGCGGTGAGTGCGACTAGAGCTACCCCGCCTGTCAGTGCTGATTCCCGGGGACTCGGACAGGCGTCACCACCTCCGTCGTCCGCAGACCAGGTGAGTCCCCGATGATGTGAATTCCGTATGCTCCTCAGCTGAACATGTCGACCAGAATGTGACCCAACACGAGGATGATCCCACAGTGCGTCGGCATCGACACGACCAAGAAGCGATCGGACGAGATACGCTGAGCGCGTACATGGAGGACCGCTGCCGCATGCAACTACCGAGTTGGATGAACGCTCCGCCAGTCGCGTTCGGTACAAAACAGCATGGAAAGCTCAGCGCGGATCAATGGCGCGCGCTGTGTATCGTGAATCTCCCGGTCACACTGATCCGAACCTGGAGCTTCCAGGAAGAGAGGCGTGTCAAGATGCTGGAGAACTTTCTCGATGTAGTTGAGGCGGTGGAGACGTTCGGGCTGCTGGAAATCGGCGAGAATCAGATCGCCACCGCGGAAGTACTGATGCGTCGGTATCTCGAAGGCGTCAAGGATCTCTACAAGGGAATGAAGATCCAGCCGAATCATCATCTTGCTCTCCATATCGGTATCTTTCTGCGTCTGTTCGGGCCCGTTCACTCTTGGCGAGCGTTCGTATTCGAACGCTTCAATTTCTATCTGCAGTCGATCAACACCAATATGACTTTCGGTGAGTGTTTTTGAACCTTCTTTCGCCTGAACATTTGACAAACAAGATCAGGTGAACTCGAGATGACTTTCATGATGCACAGCTGCCGTGCAGCGAACTTCCAGCCCTTCCTGCGCAGCCCTATCGTCCAGAAGTACATGCAGGACTTCTCACAGCAGCTCCAGGCCGCGGACAAGAAGGATCGTCGGGGAATGCGCCTCGATGCGGTGTTGCGCTCTGCGGGGGAGCATGAAGCAGCCTCGATGCCACTTCAAGGAGAACCCTTCAAGGCATCGCGACCCGTGCCATTGGGCGACCCCGAGTACAAGGCTCTATTGCAGAGGCTTTCGTATGATGACGGGAACATGTACGTGGATGAAGAGGAGTTCTACGCGGGCCGCCCAGCAGGAAGATTGCCCCTTTCTCGCCATGCTACATCTTGCTCATCGTTGTTGGTCTCCGGCGTTTCGTACAAACCATGGAGCAGGTCCTCAGGAGACAGCAACGCTATGTTTCGACACCCCGCCCTTGGCAGAAACTCGCACCCGGGCCGTATCGAGCAGATTTTTCTTCACACTCGGGGCGCCGCGAGCGGAGAGGACAACGTCGAGACGTTCCTCGTTGTCAAGCGTCTTCAACCGCTCAATCGCCTCGACGCTGGCCTCGATCCCTATCGGAGGTACCCCGCCGTGGGAGGCCGCCTATACTACTCGGAGTACGACGACGCACTATTCGTCATTCGCGGAGAGGACCTTGTTTCGCACTTCGCCTCGACTTCCATGGAGCACCTTGTAGTCAGAGCACCTGGTGCCAAGGACCCGACGAAGACGCATCCTTGTTTATTGAGCAAGCGTTGCATCCATGTGCGGCCCTTAGATCGGGTGAGTGTTGACTGTATTTCTTCACAATCAAATCGGCGCTGATCAGGTCGCTCTCTGGTAGCTCCTCCGTGAGGCACATGTACTATATCGACAAGTTCCAGGTTCAGCTGAGGGCTCATGACCACAGCAGGTAGACGCGGTCAATAGCACGATTGGCACAGGAAAGCTGATGTTCGCGTGTTGGGTGCCGCAAGTCGATGGTAGCACGACGAGACTCGAAAGGGACGATTCAAGGACCGCAGGTCGATGATAGCACCGCAACAGGAAGACCGCGACTTACTAAACGGGCCTCACGAAGGTGATGCACCCATGGATTAACCCAGTCGTGGCGTGGCAAGCGTGAGTCGAGAAGCGTAAGCTCGATCTTGCAAGGTGAGGTCGATAGGGAGACGGCGGCGGGCGACGGATTGAACACATCGCCATGAGCCTGAATGGCCGTTCACAGAGATTCACGACAAACGCAAATGGTACAGCGTCGCAGGTCGAGGCGCAGGGTGTGGTTAGCTGGGGGTGGTAACGGGGATATCGGCAAGGCGAGAGGCAGACTTACTTTGTCTGCTCTGTTATTCGATTGCTTCCGTTTCGCTGTAAGACATCGTGCAGCTCCCCAGAAGCTAAGTGAGGCGTGTGCTTCTTCGCATTGAGGTGTCTGCAGGGCGTGCGTAGATGCGCGGATTGACCATGGTAGAGGTAAAGAATGAGTACGAAAGAGAGAGACCAGGCAGTGAGTCGAAGATTCCTCACGCGATAGGACAGGCGCTTACAGCGCTCCACCCCGGGCCGCCCCCACCGCCCGCCGAATGAAGACTTAGCCAGGGCGTCGGGCGCGACCGTATGTCAAACACCGTGTTCAAGTGCGAACTAAAATAACGCACACTCTGTCAAGGAATGAGACGGATTTCAACTATTTATGCCTGCTCTACTAGTATACATGAGGATAGCAGTTCATGGGCCGCCTCACTCGGCGCGAGCGGTCAACGACAAGCCGGAAGGATTGGATTGGGCTTGCTGCACGTAGGAGGTGGTGTTTCACGAAGCTCTCAGTTACTATCTACGGTGAGCACAAGCACGTTTCGGGATGGGTCCGACATAGCGACGTGTAGCAAGCTGACAGAAGGCTTTTTCAGTGCATGACGGCTAGCTCAGTCTGCGTCTGCGCGTCTCCCGTGCGGTGACCTTAGGCTAGGCCTACCCGCGTGCGCCGAGGATATGTTAGTATACCCTTTCGGGATACCCGCTGTGAGTCTTGTATATGCTCGCTCCGCAACAACCATTGACCTGCCGCTACGGTATATCTCGGTTCACGTCGCACATTGACCATTTATTCTCCTCCCCAGCACCCGCGATGCTGTTTGAATTCTCATCCACCGTCGTCTTGTCAGCATTTTCGTGGGACGCGATATCCGTTTCACGTGAACTCTGGCGAACACAACAACAGCCTCTAACGCTCTTTTCTAATCCGACCCCACTATTCCGGCCTCGCACTCGTCTCGTCAGTATTCCGCTACACGATACGCCGCCTTATCATATCACGATCCGCGCCCGCATCACTGCCGCTTCGTGCTGCCCAGGCATCCGCCATCCCAAAAATCACACACAGGAGCGCACATACAGGACAACACAGGTGCGCCTGCGCCCGGCTCCCCGCTGCGCCCAGTGGAGGTCAGATCGAGCCCGACAAAGCTCAAGTCGTCTGGGTGATACGTGCACACCGGGACGACGTCCGCCACTGCCGCCTTCGCCTTTGCCTCTGCGCGAGCTGCGGCAGCCTTGAGCTTCTCAGCCTGGAGGTGCGCGGGGTTCGGGTGGACGCTCTCCGGGTCGCGCAGGGCGTTGGCAACGTCCTCGGGCGTCGCGCGCTCGAAGCGCAGCTTGTCCGCGTCGCCGTCTGGGAGGTTCCACCGCCGCTGGTGCTCGAGCAGCGGGGGGACGCCGCCGCGGATCTCGCTGATGCTCGTGAACGGGATGGCCGCCGACCATCCGACGAGCTTGCACCGCTGCTTGGCGACCACGCTGGCGGCGTAGTGCTTGGCGGCGTACCACATCCGCGCCTCCGGGTTGCCGGACGTCTCTCCTGCGGGAATCTCGGTGAGTTTCTCTGGCGCGACGTTTGAAGAGCGATGACTGACGTAATCCCCCAGTGAAGCAGTCGTGCAGATCCAGTCGAACACCTTCGCGCTGCGTGGATGGCGCCCCGTTGTCCCCATCCAGCTGGGCAGTGCATTCGATGAAAATGGGCTTGGAGGACATGATGGTCTCGGGAGGATGGTGAGTGCGGGGTGACAAATGCATGAAGGGAGATTGACGAGGTGCAGTCAGGGTGTATATGAGGAGGAGTACACCTCGGGGGGCGGCTGTCAGCTCGCAATGCGACCAGTGCAAATGCACGCGGGACGAAGCGACATTGAGCGAGGTCGGACCACGCGACACAGCCTGTCAGTTTAATTAATGTATTCCCGACGACGTGGACGCGCTGACCTTTCTGACGCAGCCGCTCACGCAGTGTGCATGATATTGACCGGCAGAGAGCCACTGTCACCGCTCCATCCACGGCGCCGGCATCCCCGTCATCGAGACCGACGCGAGCCTGAATGTCGTAGGCTCACCCCACATGGAACCTCAGGCTCGACTGCTGGAGGACTCCAACGGGTCAGCCGACATGATTGTGGAGCTATCGTCGGAAAAGGGCGTACAACACGGGGATGGCAGTTCTTCGGCGGCGAAGCTCACCCAGGGCAAGAAGCGCACACTGTCCGAGGCAGTGTCCGACTCGAACGTCGAGCATGCCGAACCGCCCAGTTGCAAGGCAAGGATATCTGCGAAGGGAAAGGGATCGCGCCGTCAGGCACGGACGCGAATTCTGCAAGGCCGACGAAAAGGACAGCTGCCCCAGCATAATCGACGACGACGGCAACTCCGACGGGCTCGACGTCGACGACTTCCACCCCCCGCCACTTGCAACGTCCCCGTCCCTCCTTGTGGTGCCGAACGGGACCTATTCGCCGGAGGCGAGGGCGCACGTTCGGCGCGCTGCTTCTGGGTTCCCGAAGCATCGATGACGTCCCGCCGGGGGCGGAGGGAACGTCGGGCGCGCCTCCGTCCAGGCCCACCGTCCTCCGCTGTCGGCCTTCACCACGTAACCGCAAAACATGACTGAGCTCGCGATCGCCCGCAGGTGCCGAGTGCGCACTCCATCTTGCCCTGCACGTCAACGCCGCATCCATGCGCGCTACCCCTTCACATATGCGAGATGTCCTGCCCTCCCACTCATCTGAGCTCCCATGGTCGCCGGCAGCGAGGCCTATGCACCTTCTCTCGAGGAGTCTCGACTTTAATCCCGTTTGCCCTGTCCGCCACGATTCAACATGCGAACTGTCGTATGTATCGCGTGATCCGAGATCGAATTGCACTCCATATCGAGTGGTGATTCCTGTTGTGATTCGTCGCCCGATTCCTAGCACGAAAGGCCCAATGTTTACGGGGCAATGTTATCTACGAGAACATGACGGGAATAGATAAAATGTTTGCGACATAGGATGTGGGTCAACACGTCGAAGATATGGCGAAAATGTTACATATGTTTTTTGTCATGTTTGAGCCATGTTTCCTAACGCGAACATGGCATAAACACTACCAACATGTTTTTTGCCGGAACATACCAGAGCACATGGCGAGAAATTTGGTTGTGTTTGCGGAATGCTCGAACGGGCAGTATGGCGGAAACATAGCGGAAATATTGTCGATGTTATCGACGCCATGTTTTTGCTAGGGAATATGTCCGAATTTGGCAATAATAGGCCAAACATCTTCGCCATATTGCTACCCGAAACATAGCGTGAAAACATAGCGCAAACATATCGAACAAATCCGTCATGTTCTGCCCAGAAACATGGCGAAGTTGTGACAACAAAATTTTCAAACATTCTACGTATGTTTACTCGATGTTCTCATTAATAACATGGCACTCCCATTTTTTCTATTCTTGCCGTGTTCTTGGCATGTTTTCGACGGAAACACGGCGCTTTGCCCCCTGTGTGAGGCGACGGACCTACGGGGACATGGGACAACCCGGGACATAGGCGACAGCGACAACGTCCCCGGGACACGGGACATCGCCTAAGGTCGTGACACCACAGTAGTGGCACGACAACAATCGCGTTGGCGTGCCATTGGCTTTGGTCTTGTTTGGCTCCAAACAGAGAAGGGTCAATATCTTGGCTTCTGCTTGTCCAAATGGGACATATAATATATCACCAGGAAGCTGTTGACAAGCAGAATCCATCTGTGCAACCAAATCAAGGATGTGGTGACAGTGGAATAAGATATGGACTAGATATATTTCTATTAGTGCCACAATTGGCAATAAGCGCTAGTGGCCTGGCATATTCATCAAATGGTCAAGTATTATATACTATTGGGCTCAGAATATTGATCTATATTCAATGGTGATGCTATGATACTAGTGTACCCAGAAAATTCCGCTATACAAACAATGGAATACCTCAATACAACACTAGAAAGAGGTAAGTGGGCATGATTAAACCCATATCTCTGTCAGTTTTTGGTATATATACATTATTGTTTCTGCAGTCATCCTAGTACCAAGACAGCAATGTCATGTAGACACATCATAGATACCTGGGCACACTGTGGGCTATAAACAACACAGGAGCAGCATTGGCCTACAAAGTGGTACAAAATGTGCGAAATTGGATTTATTGCAGTGATCTGCTTATCAATGAATGTTGATATGCATATCATTAGAACCTGCTCGCCAATATCTATACAATGGAGGTGTTTTCCGGGTCATATATACCCTGCATAATGTATAAATGGCCAATGAATGCGGTTCAAAGAAGGCTTCACAGGGCCTGATCCTGCCGGCCAAATAGGCGCCCAATGTGTGATTTGGTGAAGTCCAATGGGCGCTAGTAGATCGCGCTGGGCCAGCGTGATCTACTAGCGCTCGTGGTACTTAGAAAGATTTTTTGAAAAGCAGCCGCTTTTTAAAAGTATTTCCCTCGCTGTTTCACCAGTTCCCATCCATATAGAACATATCATATATCATCAGAAATCCCTTTACAAGCTCTACAATATGGTGCTGTTTTGGTTTTGATTGTCTCCACATTGGGCAACAGAAAAAGGAAATACTTTGATTTTAGTCTTTTAAACAAAGACAGAGTAGATAAACTGCAGTTTCAATCACTCTAGTAACTGCCATAGATGAAAGAGATACAATCACATATATCATGGCACTATAGCATGTCCTATGTGTACACATAACCACCCCTCAAATACGTGATCAGTGTTCTATTGGCAGGAATAATCATAGACCCTTCACCACTACTAGCACAATTGCTAGTAATGTAAACTATATAGATATACCCTTATGCTATGATGCACATTGTGTTTGAGTCTATATAGATGTTTGTTATAGCCTGCATTTGAGTGTGCATGAAGCCGCAGGTGTGTAGTGCCACCTAGGGTTACATAGATGCCTATTGGGAAGCTAGAGCCTCATTAGCAGATGGTTAGAGTGGCTGTGTGCAGCAATCTAGTGCCTAACCCTAAAATTCCTAATGGAGGAGAACCCTAACCCTGGGTTTGTAAGTGGAGAATGTATATGGCGCCTATCTCAACACTAATGGCTGATTAGCGGAGTTTCAAAATATTTTCCCATGGGCATCAATTGAGGTGTCACGAGTTGGCAGGAAGGTCACCCCATAAGAAACAATTTCTTCGTTCCTCATCAATCGTAATACCACGAGCTCTACAAGCTGAAGCTTGAAGATGCAAAAGACTCGCGCACAAGTGCCTCAATAAATGTCCTGTAGAGGTCAATGTGGCAGTTTTTCAACCGCTCTTGGTGATCATGGATGCATACTGGAAGGGCCTGTCTGGGAAGGCGGCAGAGTGGGTTGTCAGAAAGCAGAAGTCACATCAGAGGGTTGGGACAGTCACTATGATGTCCATTGAGGCTGTATTGAACTAGAAATGTACTACTTGAGCTCTTAGTGACTAGTCAAGATTGCGTATCCATTGCCCAAAAATTTGGCCAACACCCAAATTTCATTGCAGGAACTCGGTAGTTGTGTTTTTAGGCTCCTTTTGCCTCCCTAATCATGATTCTGAAGTCAGAATTGCTCAAAAAAAAATCGTGTTCTGGCACTAGTTGAGTTGTTGACTTTGGTTGTCCGGCACTGTGCAAGCCAAACAACCCACCATAAGTGACTTTGTGTCACAATCTGTCACTAATGGGGATCAATGTGAGTCCAGGTCAGTGAGCATAACATGAAGTATTATATACCATCAGGTTCAGAACATTGAGGTCTACACAATGGTGCTGTTGATCAGTCTATAGGATGCTATTTTTGGGTGTACATTGGGGTAAATAGATATTCAGGTCCAGATAATGCAGTTTATATAATGCCTTGCTAGCACAATCTTCTGCCCTATTCAACAAAAGTGTGTTAGGATGTAATAAGGAGACTGACTACATATAATAGCCAGCATGAAAGCTATCAGTTGTGCACACAATCTGGTAATGACAAACAAGACCACATTTTGTGGCAGGGGAGCCATGCTCTGTGTTCCCCTGCCACCAACTGCGGTCTTGTTTGATTCCCACTACAAATGTCTTGATATCTTGCCTCCTACTGGTCCATATCTCATAAAATATACTTGGGTGGAGAGGGCCATGGCTGGCAAGTCCGATTGATGAGAATGAATTTTTCAATGACATTGAATCAAACTGCCATTTGTTATTTGCTCTTTGGTATTTGTGCTATCTAAATAGGAATAATATATACTCCTATGTAGTACAGAAATACTGCATGTCTTAGTGTCAAAAGCACTGCAACAACACATCACAATTTTCTGAGTGATTCACCCTATTGGTGTATGCAATTTTAGTGTATGCCATTTGGATAATAGCTGTTATGAACTGTTTACAGCCACTGCAGAAGTACATTAGCAGATGTGAGACAATAGTGTTCTTCACACAGTGCAGATGATTCATAAGCACTGATGTATATTATGTGTTATAACTGCACCACTTTCATCCAATCACAATATGCAGGACAATGTGAATCAATATTTTCTCATACATACAAACTATATCTGATCCATATTTCAGATGTTTTTGTTTTCAAGCATCCAGTATTCTTTTCCACTTCATTTGTCATACTCAGCTATTGATCCA